CAACACACACACACACACACAAACATACACACAAACTTTCAGATTTATAATATTAGTAAGATATGCTAGGCATACTTTTGTCATAATGGTTTTGGAGTGGTGGTGCTACCGATCACCATGTCCAAGGTGTCGTTAGAAAGGTCTAATCATGTAGTTTTGCCATCAAACAAAAAACTTTGGAATTCCAGTGGAATTTCAGTGGCCTTCAAAATTCTTATGTTATTCTTAGGGAGAAAATGTTTGTTTACCCCCCATAAAACCCCGATCCCATGGTCCGATCATGCTGGTTCGCGAACTCATTCAAGTTTATCCGGTACGTTGTCACTGGTGCGGCTGGAACTGCAGTCGTTGGACGATCGTCGTCGCACAATTATCGCTCGGTGATAATCGTTGCAGTAGGTATTGTCACTGGTGCGATTATCATACAATCGTTCAGTTAATTCTTGACTGTTGCCGAGTTGAAGTAGGGATAGTGAATTATTATTTTATAGGCTTTAACAAAATACTATTCATTTATTTGTTAGTTGAAGATCTAGAATATGGACAAATTTTGGAAATGATAAGTGTTCCAAGACTTAGCACACATTCACACATAGTGTAATTCCAAAACGAACAGAAGAGGAGTACTTCAAAATATTAATAAACAATCATTTGCAAGCTGATGAGAGAATTTTATCTGAGTTCTTCAGACTTTCAAAATGTCAGTTTAAGTTTTTGTACGGTTTGATCAATGAAGATTTTAAGAAGACTTCTTAAAACTACATTCCCTATCCAATCACAGGAGATGAGAAGTTTGCTCTTACGTTAAGGTAGGATAGTTTATTTATAATTGTTAAATTTATGTATTAAGCTAATAAACTAATAGAATGCATCGGTATTATTTTTTTTCTTTTTCAAAATAAAACATGTTTAGTATAAAAAAATAGTAATACCCCAGTTGCAGCAAACCTGTGTACTCGTGGACATTCCAGTTTCCAATGCATTTATGTGTGTCTTAATACTAACTTACCACATAAAGTCACTAACCAAGTATCATCAAATGCATTAACAACTAAGTTATATACAGTATAACATTTTAATTATTCTCCATAAGAATAACATTGGGGCTGTGAGTACACTCGAGGCTCTTGCTCGAGAAAAAGCTGTGAATGCCTCAAAAATCGTCCAACGACTGCGACTCTGACTGCTCCAGGAGCAGACCGGTACGATAGACGTCCCCGACTACGATACTACTGCGGCTACAGTCGCGTCAGTGACAACGGTGCCATTGAAAACAATGCTAAGCAGGCTCTATACGATTATTGTTCAACGGCTCTCGTCCAACGACTGCAGTTCCAGCCACACCAGTGACAACGTACCTTTACACCTCCAAACCAAACTTCATCAAAATCAGACAAAAATTACTCAAGTTATCGTCCGGACGAACACATATCTATATATATAATACATGAAGCAGTTTTTTGTTAACGCAACTCCTCCCTCATTTTTGGACCGATTTTGACGATTAAAGTGTCAGAAGAATGGCCCTGATCTGTTGTTTTGCAGTGTTTTAGCGAATTTCCCTATAGGGAAGTAGCTATTACCGTAGGTCTCATGGTAAGACCTAAGCCCGGGACCGATTTACTTTTTCATTTTGATGTCCCCAGAGGCCAAAAACACCATTCGTTCAAATTTTTATATATTTATATATATATATATATATATGTGTGTCCATCCGCACGATAACTTGAGTAATTTTTGTCCGATTTTGATAAAATTTGGTTTGAAGGTGTAAGGCAGGATAAACTTGAATGAGTTCGCGAACCAGCATGATCGGACTATGGGAACGGGGGTTTATGGGGGGTTTTATGGGGTAAAAATAGGTTTTGCCCATTTTTGGCCCTAAAAACACAAAATTTCACAATTTCTTTTTAAACCATTTTGTAGAGCTTAAAAAAACAAATAATTTAGTATATTGAAGTGTTCTTATGGGCCTAATTGTTACGGAGAAAATTCAAAAAAATTGTAATTTTAAAATTCCCATGTTATTCTTATGGAGAATAAGTCAACTGTTGTAGTTTGCTTGTTTATGAACATATTTTGATCAAATTTGGAAAATACATTAATTTCTTACTAAACCATAGTACCTTTTAATATTTTACATTAAAAAAAAAACTTTTACCCTCCCTGTTGCAGCAAACCTAAGTACTCATTAAACTAATTCTGTTTAAATAGGGAATAAAAATGTGATATTTTTAAGGAGACAATTTAGTTTAAATCTAATCAGGCAGATGGAAATTCGCTAAGTCTGCAGGTTTGCTGCGGCGGGGGTATTTATTTTTTTTTTCTTTATTAGTTTGGGATCTTCCATCAAAGTTGGGTTTTCTCCCATGAGATAAACATGGGGGAATCTAAATATTTAATTGGAAACTTTGTCTCCACTAATTTTAAGAGAACGACTGGGCATAGAAACTTGGTAGAGGTGTCCAAAGAAAGGTCTTGGTCTGTAGAAGAGTTATCAAAAGAAATATGAAGTAAATTCCCTTAGGGCTCTGTCCCAGAAGCCTTTAAAAGATACCTCCACAGATTTGTTTACATTTTGGCCATGTGGATAATACTTTTAATGAAACAGCTGATAATTTTTAAATTGTATTTTAAACAACACACATTGAAACATTTATTGAGAGTTACTGAATTGTCCAAAGGAAGTATTTGCAATGTTATTTCCCAACTCTTAGAGAGCCTTTGAATGTTATTAGGCTAACGAAAAAGGGTTGTGCATGTTTACTAGCGCTTCTCAGCAACAAAACAATTTAATTTATCCCTAAAAAATATATTCCTAAAGTGCACTGAGCAGCAGCCTAAAAAAATCTCTTTAATTTACCCATATAGTTAAAAAATGCTCAAACTCGCATTGTGACATTTATGAATCAGCTTATATTTCTCCAACAGTTATTCATCTACAGAAGAAGTTCAGTGTGCTCTTATCGTGTCTAATAATATCCAAACACAAAAACCTTGCCTAAAATGGTACCTATCCTGACAAATAATTTGCAGTGGCCTATATTACGGACCGTGGCCCACTGGGTTGGTAACATTATTGAAAGTAACACGATATTTTGGCTGTAGGAGTAAATAGGTCTATTATTTAAGCAGCTACTGTCATGACAGAAAGGTCATTCCTTTTAAACTAGATCACATTATCCTTTATAAGATACGTTGATTAACAATGCATGTTAACGTCAATATTTACTAACAGCCAATTTACAGTATGTTTTTCTATTTGGAAATGCCACATTGCTATTTAATTTGCATTATTTGTTGCCAATGAAGCCACACGACCACATAAACGAGGAGGCCCCTAACCGTCGATTTCGACGGGTTTCACCTAGTATATATATCTTAAATTATTGTAGTAAATAAGTACAACTGAGCACCCTGAATATTATATTTTTTATATTCAGGGTGCTCAGTTGTACTTATTTCCTACAATAATTTAATATATCAGCAGCCCTATTATGTGAACACCTAAATTAAAACATATATATCTCTATATATAGATACATATACATATATAAAAATTTGAACGAATGTTGTTTTTGGCCTCTGGGGACATCAAAATGAAAAAGGTCCCAGGCTTAGGTCTTCCCATGAGACCTATGGTAATAGCTACTTACCTATAGGGAAATCACAAAAAAAAATGCAAAACTTATGACAGTTAGCCTGACCATACTACTGGACCGAATTACACGTGGTTGGTACCAAATGAAATATATTTACCTGTAGGCCTAGATGTGCAGAATCCCTTTGTAAATTGAAATAAGCTAAAAAATAAGCACGAAAAATGAATTAGAAATTTCAAAAATATGAACATGGGTCTTATGGTTTACCATGCTGGTAACAAAATAACAAAAAATATTCTGTACATTACATATTTTTGGTTGAGTTTTCGACAACGGGGTGACCTCTAGGAACTAATATAAAAATAAACTTTTCTTATAGAGATTTAACATGGGGCTAACTAACATTATAAGCTTACGACAGCCACCCTGACCATACTACTGGACCAAATTACACGCAGGTTGTACGAAAAGAAAACTTATCAGTACTATATAGTTCACACGGGGCGAGTTTAAAAGCTATAAGCCGGATTTTTTACACGCACCTAGTAAAATAACTCAGTGTTAACGACGTACTCGCTCAAAACCTACTTGTAAAAAAGCTCTGGAAAAAATTGACGCTGCCGCTACTTTACACGCCAACTCGACAGCTTTTGAGCGAGTAGGCGTGTAAAGTAGCCCAGTGAGAACACAGTTGCTTGTGCTTGTGCGAATGTTATTCGAAGATGTCGGAGGATTTAGTTCAAGCCAGCTACTGAGCCAGTGGAAAAAGCATGGTGTGAACGACTACAAGCGCACTCACCGACTCGCCTGCGTCTTTCTACACGTCGGCGAGTTGGCAAATGGACAAGCTCCATGTGAACAAATACAAGCGCACTCGCCAACTCGCTGGCTGTAAGAAGTAGCGTGTAAACTCGCCCCTTGTGAACGAGTCTTATGTTCAGGTTTTTTTGTATATTGAGAATATTTATGTTGATTGGGTCAAAAATTAAAATTAAACTTTTCTTGTGGAGAATTACCATAGGGTTTATTTTTAAGCTTACGACAGCCACCCTGACCATACTACTGGACCGATTTACACAAAGTTGGTACCAAATGAAAGGTAATTGTCTGTATTGCCCATTTTGCTTCGATTCTATAACCGTAACTTATGAAAATAATTATATTGATTTATTTTCATGTAAGCTTGGACGACAATGTAGGTTATAATTGTTTGTATAAACTTAGTTGCTTTTTGTTTATAAATTCAAACTACTTAACAGGTGTTTGTATTAGGTGGAATAATACATCTTCCCGTTGCGAAGCACGGGTACATCAGCTAGTTGGTTATATAGTGTTAGATTGAGTTATGTATGAGAAGTCTGAGAAAGGGCGGCCAAAAATAAACATTATCCCAAGAGATTTTGGTAAAAGCTGCTTGTTTATTATAATCACTTCTTTATTTCAAAATTATTAGATGCTAGTATTCATACAAAACAAAAAGACAATGTTTCAGTTATTTAATATGTAAAGTATAAATAGAATATTTGTGATATTGATACTCAAACATCAGGTTTCTTGACTGATTATTTCACAAGCTATAAGTAAATTGTAGTCATAAAGGGTTTTTATTTGTCTCTTTGGTTCCTGGTGCAAGAGTGAAAAAACAAACTCTTTTGGGGAGTAGCAAAAGGGGCTAGTGCACATTTGGGGTCAGAACAGCAGACTGAATTTAATAAGACTTTTTTCCTAGTGCTGGAAAATTATATGACAAACCAATGTCCAACCTCCACTGCAGCTCTGGGAAAAATTGCTTACTGATCATTTTATGAAATGGTTGAAGACATGCTTCTGTAAATATGCGAAGTTGGTTTTTCACTCACACAATGAACTGTAGATGACATTCAACACAGTTTCGAGGTAGAATTTTAATTACAATGTTTTACTTGCATAGTTCAATGCTCAGGTCTGAAACATTACTTTTCTTTAACATTATGGAATAAATTAAGTAAAATTAAAATCTTAGATTAGATCCATACCGACACCAGAGTTTGATTTTAAGATGTAGATAAAAATAGGATGAATTATGAACAAATTAAATTGTAGTTTAGTTACTAACCAAGATCAGCTCATTACTCATTATACCAGAATCATTTATTAAAATCCCAATAATCAAGGACCCCTGAGTCTAGTATCAAACCATTAAAAAGCAACAGACTTATCAATTCAATTATCAATTATTTAAGATGGGGACGCCACTATGTGCGTATTTTAACCCAAATATGAGTGAAGGATGAGTGTAGGATGAGTGGCGCGATCTTGTAGTCTTGTTAGTGACTAAGGCCGACATGTTCCTTAGACACAGCTGTTAATTAATAGCCCATACAGCTAATGGCAACTAAGGGACCTACAGTTTATAGTGGAATCCGAACCACATTTTTCCTTGTAATTTACGAATTGGTCTAATTATCAGGATAGTACTGCGGATAGTCGTAGTACTCACTAGTGCGGACGTTAATCCACACCAGTGAGCATCGCATCCACAGTGCATCCCTATAAATATCCACAATTCGTGACCTCCTAGTAGCTGGATTACAGGACGACGCCACCCGTGACTTAAGGCCAGAAGCATAACCTTTCAACTATCCTTTTTTTTTAAATGTTGATCAATTTTAAAATACACCACAATACCACTCATCAGCCCAGCCAAGGTATTCTAGAGCTCAGACTCGTGTCTACGGCATTGGGGAAAAACATAGAATAATAATGATGTATAGTTATATCATGACATAGGCAACATTAAATAGTAATGATTTAAAAAACATGTTGTAGTGTCAGGTTTTCCGTCCTATGGGTACAAAGTTAATGTTTATCATCACAATAATGTTAGCTCAAATTATAATGTCTCAGGTGGACCTATACTACCTATGCTGTATACACTTTTCACCACAATATGTACAAATGTTCTCGAGATAACTTATAAATCAACTTTATCAATAAAAAAGAAATAAGCAAATAATTTACAAATATTTACAGACATATTTTAAAAGTTATAGCCTAAATGGTTGTTTAATATTGAAATTATTGTGATATATGCATAATTTAAGTATAAAGTTGACATTTTTATTGATTTTTAAAAACATATCGAGCGAACAACCATAGGTCCGGTCCGCAACCGAAATCCTACTAATAAATTAAAATTAAAACCATAAATAAGACAGAGGACTCATACAATTAGTTAACAAAGGAATATATATAAATAAACTCTTTAAGGTTAAAAACAGTTGGAAAGGCAGCGGTAATGGTGAATGACTAGCTGCGAAGTTTTTGCAGACGACTCTGCATTTCTTCTAACTCCTCTGGATCTTCAACATCAGCATCTGCGGAAGCGGCTTCTGAGACAGACGCAGCTGGAAGACTGTCTTTGAGAGCATCAGGTGCTTGGCCCAGTGCGCCTGCAGTTAACTCCCATAGCACCTGCACAAACAGACACAATACAACCTCTATTTCATCAACCAGATGACTGACTAATGTTGGTCAAATCACAGCTTAAACATCATAAAAACAGTTTTCTCGAAAAAATAAAACCTTCAACCATGCACGACTCAGGCTAAAACACATCGTACACTGCTCAAGCTAAAAATAAATATTGTAATTTAATACATTTTTGGATTACCCATCCTTTCCTGGTATAAACGTTGTAAAGTAAGAGAAAACAACGAAATGTCAATGACAACACAACAAACAATTTGCCAAGTTAATACTCGACTGCCCAAATATCGCCAAGAACAGAACATTTGATCACGGTTTGAATTGGTAAAACACAAGTTTTATTATGGGGAGATTCAGAATCTAACACCATCTTTATATGAGGAAAACCCTGAATTAAAACAAGCAAAATTTGAAATGCTAAAAGCTTGATTATAGTAGTTATTCACTAATTAATCTAAATACCCCCACCGCAGCAAACCTGCAGACTAAGCGAATTTCCATTTACCATTTACCTGGCTGGACAGTAAACCTGGTGTTTCAATTTTGGAGAAGGATTATTTATAAACTCAGTTGTCAATTATCATACGCAGGGCCAACCCTGAGCATCTCCAAGGGGGCCGAGGCAGGTAAAAAGAACAACAAATTGAACAATTATTATTAATTAATCTATTAATATGCCAACATGAATTTTTTGATGTTTTAAAGCTGTCAAGCAACCGATTACCATGTTCAAAGTGTCGTTTGATAGGTCATGGCACATAGATTTACCATCAAACAAAACATTTTTGAAATTCCATCATGGATCTGCCCCAGTGGCCTTCTAAGTTACCATGTTATCTTTATGAAGAAAATTGTTGTTTGCATTTGGACAGATGAATACTTTGAAATTTACACTAATACAGGGTGAATCAGACCACCCGTGCACATTGGGTTGGCCCAACAAGCGTTAAAACAACCTTTTTATTGAAAATCCGCCATTTAATTTTTTTTTGTGCCAAGGTTATTTTATTTTTTATTATTCAAGAGTTGAATTAATGGACAAAGCATTAATCTGCCAAGTAAGGTAAGTTTACATCAAATTGAAAAGGTTATGGGCCCAGAGTGCTCAGTACCAGTAATTGCCTTATTTATTGATCAAATTTAAAAGACTAGACCTACAAAATGTCAAGAAGTGAAAATGTGTCTGTTTTACCTCAATTAAAGAAGGGAACTAATTTTGCCAATTGGAAGTTCAGACTAAAATTAGTTCTTGAGGAGAAAGGAGTTACTGATATTCTTGAAAATCAAGTAACATAAGAAAATAAGGCAAAGATACAAGAGCCAGATCATTCATTGTACAGTTTTTATCAGACAAATACCTAGAATGTGTAAAAAATGCAAAAACTGCTAAAGAGATGATAACTTGTTTGGAAAATGTCCTTAAACGAAAAAGTACTTTTAATAAGTTGTACCTCAATAAACAATTGTTAAATATAAAGTGTAAAAGTAATGATAAACTACAAGATCATTTTCTAAAATTTGATACTTTAATAAATCAGCTTAAATCTTCAGGGTCAAAAATGGAAGAAAGTGATCAAGTTTGCCATGTTTTACTAACTATTCCAGAATTTTTGGTAATGTTGTTACTACCATTGAGACTATGAGTGTCGACAAAGACATAACCCTAGATTTTGTCAAGTCATGTTTGCTAGACACTGAAAGACAACAAGAAAACAATGTTTGTAGAAGTTCTTTACCAGAAACAGCGTTTAGTGCAACTAATACTTATAAACAGGTAGAATGTTTTAAATGTCAGAAAAAAGGGCATATAGCCTAGCTTCTGAATGTCATTTGAAGAAACCAAACTTTCGTGGAAATGGTCATGGTTATAGAAGAGGTAATTTTGTTGGTAACTAAAAATAACAACAACAACATCTTTAATAAACATCAGTCTCATGTTACCCAAAACTATGAAGATTTTAACTTTATTGCATTACATAATTAGCAGGCTATGTATAACAGAAGTGAGTCAAATTTTAACAATGTTTAAACTTCATCACAGATTCTGGTGCAACAGAAAATTTTTTAAAAACAAGAATATGAAAGATCAATGCATCACATAGAAAAGCTTGGTAGACAAGTTCAAATTAAAATAGCAAATGGAGATGTGTTGAAAGCGGAAAAGAAAGGGATTTTGACTGTCAATTGTGATGGGAAGGTAGTAAATATTGAAGCAATAACTGTACCGGGAATTTTCAAAATATTCTTTCAGTAAAAAAGTTAACCAGAAGAAATTGTAAAGTAATTTTTTAATTCAATTTAGCAAGAATAGCAGATAATAATAATGACACAAAATGCTGCTGTGACCAAAATAATGGGCTATATTGGATGAAAGGGAGTTTACAAGCAGAAAAATGCTTACTATCTGGAAATGTTAACAAACAAAATAACTTATGGCATCAGAGATTAGGACATTTAAACAAAAAAGGTCTAAGAAATGGGATTACCTATTTCTGATGAGGTTTGTAAACCATGTTTGAAAGGTAAATCAACTCGAACCCCTTTTAGGTCACACAATGGACGTAGAAGTAATCGAATTGGAGAGTTAATTGATTCCCTGATATTTCTGGACCAGTAACTCCAACTTCAAGAGAAAATTACAAATACTTTCAAACAATAACAGATGACTATTTTTATTGTTTACGAAATATTTACGACTTGAATTTGGGGTGGCGTGAATATTACAATGGAAATGTGAGAAAGCCTGACAATTTGATATACTAAAAAGAAAACTAAATTGATACTATGCTGCATTTCTTGAGCAATCATTGAAACGAAAGAGCCGATTTGCAAACTATGGAAACAAAGGAAAGTCATAAAACACCACCAAGTAGAAGAAATAGAAATAATGTTTTTTTTATTTATATTTGTTATTATGTATTGTTATTATTATGGACAACCTAATGCGGCTATGAGTAGGAAATCTTTTTTAGAAAACACTATAAAACAAGATCAGCTTTTGAAAATGATCAGATATATTTACAAAATATTTTGATTATATCAAACTGTTAATACATCATGAGTATTTCCATAATCTTAAAGTCGACTCTTTAAAAGTCATATGGAAAAAAATTCACTTTTATTTTTTTTTTAAATAAGGTTTGTAATACTTGGCAATTGCTCAAATTAGAGCAACAGGAACAATAGTTATATATAAAAACTAGATGTTACATACTTAAAAAACCTTTTTTCCACTGTTCGTATGTGTACAACCTATTTCCAAAAATCTAAACTCAAGGCATGCTGCAAATCACATGTTCAATGAGAAATCTTCCAGAATGGCTGGTATCACTCAGGGTTGTAGGGGGAGGGGAAACATGCTGTCAGGGTTTAGGGACACAGAATGTGTCTGGAAGAGCATTCAAAGTGGCTGAAGTCTGAGAAGAAAGAAGAATTTTTATGGAAAGCGGCCTGATAAATGAGTCTTAAATGCAAGCCAAGGGTAGTGGTAGGAACCATCTGACGCGCCTTAACTACAAAATGCACGCTCACTCTGTGGGTACACACTCATTTGTTTGGTAGAGTAGTAAAAAGATGCATGAGATGAGTGATGTGCAACACAATTATGTGTATGCAGCCTTAGACTAGGTCAGGTTGTGTTATAAAAGTCCTCACCTTGTCAATCTCCTCCTGCGCCTCTTCCTCCATGTCTTCAGGATCATCCATCACACTCTCCATCGTATCTTCCAGCATCTCCTCTATGATACCAGCCTGTACATATTAAATGTTCTAATGACAACTGTGAGCATCATAAACCTAATCTTTAAAATTAATACGCTACACGAAACTTTGTCAGTTGAACTCCTCCGCCCCGATTATATCCATTGGCGTCTCATTAGAAAGAGCGTGTCGCGTAGATTTGCAAACTGACCTTACATTTTTGAAAAAGGCACTTGGGCTCTGCCCCAGTAGCTGTTAAATTTCCCATGTTATCCTTATGAATAACATAATTGTTTACATTTTGATCAGCTGTATAATTTAACTGCTGTAATTTATTTTTCAATTCAAAGTCATAAAAAATCATCGGAAATTATGATGACTTTTATTTGTTTTTAAATAACTACTTTACTTCTTTGCAATTGCTCGATTTCGAGCAACCTGTTTCCTAGTACTAGTTAATTTGCATAGTTTTAACACGTTGACTGCGCGTGCCGACTTTAGTCGGCGTCGCCAGCGCTCCCAAGTGGCGCGCGCCGACTAAAGTCGGCACCAGACCAACAGAAATATATTGAGTCAGTGTGAGCTTAGCCTCAGACGGAGACGTTATAATCGTTGCCAGCCTGCCAGCTTAGAATGCGAGCTTTACTTTGGAATAGGTTGGTACTAAAATTTCCCGTAAAATCCTGTCTGGCAATGCTTTTGTCCCGGTTTCGGGGATTTTTTCTCTTCAACCCACATTACAAAGACACTGGATACGGATCCATGCAGTGCTGCTACCTTTGGGTGTTTCAGTGAACTACATCCACTCTCGGGGTAACGCAGCACAGTCACCACTGCTCTTTTGTGATTCGTCAGACTGAAATATTTGAATGCCAATTGCGTTCGCTGATTCGGTTGCGCGCCGGGGCTTCGCCCGCCACTGGGGAGCGCCTGTAAAGTTGGCGCGCGCAGTCAACGTGTTAACAGTCTGTGTTGTTCTTTAGGATTATCATTACCTATTGGATAAATGTACTTTTAATGATTCAATTCAATTCAATTCAAATTATCTTTATTCATCAAGTACATTAGAAATATATACATGAATAGTGTCACATTTATTATAAGTTATAATAAAATATACTTGCTTATAGTAAATGAGAAAAATTGTAAAAGAACAAAAAACTAACAGTTAAAACATACTTTGATTGGAAAGAAAAGTCAATTACAGTTCATCAAATGAATAAATAGCCCTGCTAATGAGAAATTTCTTAAGTTTGTTTTTAAATGTGTTTATATTTACTTCTGCTTGTATGTGCTTTGGAAGTTTATTATAGAATTTTGTTCCGGCGTATTTGGGTTTTTTTTTTTGAAAAGGCGCAATTTATGAGGACTTAATGCAAACTTGCCTCGATTTCTCGTAAGATAATCATGTTTCTTTCTAACCAGCTCTATTTCATGAAATCTGTTTTTAACGGATACCACTGTTTCAAAAACATACATACCAAAAACTGTCATTATATTTTCTGTTTTAAACTTTCTCTTAACAGAAGTTCTAGGTGAAGGTTGTAAATTATTCTTATAGCTTTTTTTTGCATTCTTAATATAGATTTTAAGTTTCTCTTATTGGATGAGCCAAGGGAAATCCCAAATGAAATCACTGAATGTATGTATGAAAAGTAAACCAACTTCAAAGCTTCTATTTCACAAAATTTTTTTAGTCTAGTTAAGGCGTATAATCCAGAAGAAACTTTTGAAAGTACTTTTTCAACATGACAGTTCCAATTTAGTCTTTTATCTATTACTAATCCTAAAAATTTAGTACTATCCTTAACTTCAATGGTTTTATTATTAAATTTAATAATCGGTAGACGTTGATTTCTGGTTGTTCGAGTTTGAAAATTTATGATACTTGTTTTATCCACTTTGAGATTTAGATTTTGGGAGTTAAAAAATCATTTAAAACACGTATGTCTGATTTTGCATTGCTTTCTAATTCTTCATTTGTTGAGGCTATGATTTTAAAATGATTAAATCCACATGTATTCATTCTACACTTATTCCTTATCTTCACATTAAATCTTCACATTAAACTGCAAGTCCAGGTGTGTTAGCATCAAAATCATTAAATCACATTCCACATCTCCACCATGAGGAAGTATGCCAACTCACACTTGAAAACCTATGAGATAAAACTGTGATGCAATTTTACAACACTGATTCTTAGCAAGTGCTTATGGCTATGAAGGAATCCACAAGCCAAGTTATGGCTATATAGAACATGGTTGCAAATATATTGTGATTGTTCACCATGGTATCTATCTATCATGTGTGAAACTGTTTATTGTGAACAAACACTACTCCTCCCTAATTTGTGGACTAATATAATTTGTGTATTACGATAATTTGTTTTACATTTAAGCTTTTTAGGGACATATGTCCATACCAGCTACTAGTATACTATTAAATTCAAAGTCAAACTGCTCCCTGTTGTTAGGTAAAATTTTTATTTGTTAACACACTTTAAATATAAATGGGCTATATACATTTTAATGTAATATACTATATAAAAAATACACTTTTTTAAAGCTGTTTTAGATCAAATTGGATTCAAATAAGTTTGTTGTTGTTGTCATATTTGAATTCTTTACCTAGTATGTTAAAACGACTATGTTCTTAATTTTATATTATTTGAAATGAGCAAGATAAAATATAGCTGGTGTCTATAAGCGAATAGTAAGTTTCAGTAATTTATCAAAACATCAGAAGTTTGGAAAGGAATTTTCATTTATTCTTGTCTGACATGTAATTGGCCTTTGGTTTAATCCTTTCAGTGCTATGAAACAATATATGGTTGTATTAAAAATTCTCTAAGGGATATAGAGAGGAAGGTTATTTTAACAAAAAGTAGCAAAACGGCCATTGGTGACCTGCATGTTCATAGGATACACTATCAACCACTTAGCTAAAAGATTCGCCCAATCCGATGATTTCGAGGTGTATGTCTAAACCAAGGATTATGAACACCTCACTATGCCCCAGTGGTTATAGTACTACAGTAGACTCCTCTAGTTCTGCCACCTCGGGACCGGACCCCCGGCCGAACTACAAAATGGCCGGACTATCCGGATGTACGACAAAAATTTAAAATAACCCTATTTATTGCATCACCTACAGATAAATTAAACAGAGACTTAGTTTATATGTATTAATTAAATTAATTAATTTTAAATGACTTACTTCTCTGTAATATCGCAGATATATTAAATCTGTCTCCTCTATATATATCCTACTAATATTATAAATGTGAAAGTATGGATGTTTGTGTGTAACTCTGAAGTTCCATCACGTGAAAACTAAAATTACTGGAAGTCAAAGCCGGTACTTATGAAAGCACTGCACTTATGAGGTAGCCTACTTATGCAGAGGGTTGTCTTGAGAAGTTGAGAAAATCCTATAGGGCTATGTCCCACGGACAAAATGAGAGTTAAAATTAAAAAAATATAAAATTTTTTTATTTTTTATTATAAAGTTAAGAAAAACTATAAAATTAATTTTATAATTTTTTTATTATAAAATTAATTTTATAATTTTTTTATTATAAAATTAAATTGTCATAACCTAACCTAACTCACCAAATTTGCTGATAATGAAATTATAAATGCATCAAATTCAATTTTTCAATTATAAAATTAAACTGTCATAACCTAACCAAACTTGCTGATAATGAAAAAATCTAATGGAGGTTTACTAATCGAAAAATAGTTCTATTCATAAAATCTATCTATACAATTCTGTAAGACAAAATTTTTTCCAGAAAATTGTGGATGTCTGGAAAGTTGCAGAAAAGTGGGAGAGGTCTTAAATTAAAGGTCTTGGCCCCAGGGACTCGGGAAAAATAGCAGAATTCCCATAAAGTTACCAGAAAACGAGATATAACGTAAAATATCCACCATAAGAAATGCATGGGGACTGAAAAACGTCTGCAGTCTATCAGCTGTTACTTATTTATTTGCAATGTTGACATTTATTCCGAAAGTCAATGTTGGTAAATAATGTTCCAAAATGAATTGTATTTGTTTAATTTTTTTGTTTTCCGTTTTTTATAATGAGTGAAGTAACTAGACAGGTAAGGGGAAGACCTGCAAGACGTGGAAGAGTGTCCAGGAATTCAACAGATTTAAGAAATGCTGAAAGAGAATGTCATGTAGGGCCTAACTGTGAAAGAAATCCAGAAGCTGTTTTACAACCTGTCTTTAGTAGAACGCTGGAAAATGAGTTGAGTGTTCTTACTCACAATCTAGGTCCTCTTAACAGCACTTGCATGTATTGTGGCGCATTTCACTTTGCAGAGGAGGCCACAAATGGACATTTCAACGCATGTTGCCACAATGGACATGCCACAACCACAAGTAAATGACAAACTAAAAGAACCGTTTTTACATGATTCGAACTTCATAAAAAACATAAGACAATACAACAGTGCAATGGCTTTTGCGTTGCTTTCCAAATTATGAAAATTGGTTTAAAATTAAGGTACAAATTCATAGATATATTTCTGAGTTACTACCGCGAAATGGGTAGTTAATAATTAATAATAATTTTAACCTTTACATTTGGTTCTCAAAATGGAAACTATAGCAGAATTTCGTAAGATTACAAAACAAATCTTCAAATTTAGACTAGAAAAGATGTGCTGTATGATTTCAGCTCTGATTCGTCGTTCTCCGGGCTCAGGCCAAACCGTGTGCACGTTTCCATTTGTTAATATGTTTTTATATATGGTTTTTTATTTTAGTCTAAATTAGGGGCTATGGCCCCTACAGGCCACTAGTAAAATTATAAATGTCTTAAATTCTAACAAAAGATGTACAGTTAAGAAGTAATCGCATTCCAAGCAAAATCTTTGACAAGAAGTTAATGTCACTGGTGGGATTCGATCTCGTTACCTTCTGCATATCAGTCTGGTGCTCTATCCATTTGACCATGAACACCGTTGACTGCCTTTCCATATCATTGTGGTAACGGTGTTTCCTCAGCCAATAGAATGTTCTCATTTTGTCCGTATTAAAAAT